TAAGTAAGTTATGTATCCATAAGTTTGTTTCCATTACACTTTGGTTTGATAGTCGTTCCTGAGTTTTGGAGCAACAGCTGAAAAAGCTCGGTCTCCTCTGGTCCTTGTAGTTTTTGGAGTTGTTAAAAGCAACTGGTCGGCAGATTTGAGACATCCTGTAGGGCTGCAAAAGTCTTGAGATATGTTAAGGTGCTGAGCCATATAGCGAGATCTATTTCCTTCATTAGATAGGACAGCTGAAGAGACACAGAAACTGTTTTTTGAGGAGAGAGTGGGGGGAGATGACATGCAGCAAACTGAATACTGAATCCAAATTTAGACAATATTGGACAACTGAATCTCATTTCATCTAGTTTTATTACATTTTGAACCTCCTGTGTTTCCTCATTTAGAATAAATGATAGCGTTTCCTCAGTACCTGTTCTTGTCTAGTTATTTTTACCTTAGTTTTGGGATTGTGGGATAGGGGTGGGGGAGAGAGTCATGTTGTTGCTGTTTGATTTATGTTGATGTAAAGCACTTTGGGATACATTTGTTGTATGAAAAGTGCTATACAAATAAAGTTTGATTGATTCATTGATTGATTGAAAGGGCCGAGGTGGGATTCAGACTCACTATTGAGGACTATTGCCTCTTTTTAGGGGCGTGCAACAAAACCATTCAGCTATCGGCGCCCTAACTAAAGAGTAACATTGTAAAATAGATCCTGAAATGACCAGGGAAGCAGTGGAGGGGGGGGGGGGGCAGGGTGGGGAAGCTTTCATGTACCTGTTAAAAGACGAGCAGCAGCATTTTGGAGAGATGAATATAAAAATCTAAAAGTTGGGGTTTGCAGTGTTCCTGTTGTTGTACTTGTTCCAGATTTCCCTCCATCCCTCGCATTTGGCTGGATTTAGTTAGTCGTAATAAACTGTGATTCACATATTCACCCTCTTATGTGGTGGGTGAGTCATTGTGAACGGTTACAACCTGCTGCTTTTCATACGTTTCCCCCTCTCCCGCTCCTCCTCCTCCCTGTGGTTGAAGGCTGCTTTTAGACCCAGAAAAGGCGAGAGGAGCCCACACAAAAAGCTGCCAGCAGGAGATAAGTCCCAGCTCACTTTGTGATGCTGGAAATTGGCACTTTGACTCTCCTTTTTTTTTTCCGCTGGCTGTGTTGCAACAAGCGGAAGAATAATGGTTTCATTTCCCCCCCCGACGCCGCTGTCCTTCTGACGCCTCATACATATGCAGCTTCTGGCGACTCATGAAAACTTAAAATTATAATACAATACAATATGTCAGCTGTGGTTCACTGAGCAGAAATCACCAGGACCGCTGACATTTATGGGAATGATTTCTCTTTTTCTCGTCTGAATGCTCGGCTCAGCTGAGAAAGTGTTGGTATTGTTCGAAAATATGCATTTCAAACTGGGTACTTGAACATACTGACTGATAGATGGACAAAAGTGCTTCTAAAAGAAATGTTTGATCATTTCATTTTCATATGATTGATTTCAGATGATGTAAAAAAGAAAAAAAAAAGAAAAGAAATTTCTAAATATAGAGGCGTATCGAAGGTCTTGTTTCAGCAAACAGTCCAAAAATAAGGTAATCTTCACATTGGAAAAGTACCGTAAAATCCGGTATAAATCGCACCGGTATTTAAGACGCACCCTGTTTTGAAGGTCTCTTAGAGAGAAAAAAAGTTTAAGCTGTTTTCCTGCGTGACAATTTTCATTTACATTGTGTTCAGCGATGTCTACAAGGTGCAGTTTCTGTGCAGCTGTGTCGCTCTTTTAGTTCCCTCTGTTTTCACGTTCGGAAGTTTGCTCTCCTACTAGCTACAGTACAGTAGTTGAGCTCTGAGCGTGCTGCAGGGAAAGTTGTGAGGCACAGTCTCCTAGCTTGCGAGTCGAGCTGCCCGACTCCGCTTGTCACTCTTCAACTTTAATAGAGGACTCTTTCAATCAAAAGAACACTTCAAAAGGTTTATTTACGGAACAATATACCACTGTTTCTGTAAATGCATGATTATGACCTCGTGAGGAAGAAAAGATGTGGAAAAAGTCGCGCAGCCAGCCTGGTCTGTGTCGCCGTCTTTCCCAGCACAGCGTGCACTCAGCTTTCAATACACAATGAATGGGGATGGGTTTTTAATATAGACTGTAAGGTTTTGCATCAGGTTGCAGTTAGTGGCTGCTGCACTCGCTGTAATAAAGGCGCGTGTTTTCAGTATTTTGTACTGGTCGCACCGGTGTATAAGATGCAGCCAACTTTTAAGACGAAAAAATAGGTATTAAAAGTGTGTCTTATACACCAGATTTTACGGTAGTTAAAAAAATGGTTTAAAGGCATTAGTAATTTATAGAGTGCATTCCAGTGCAGGTAAGCTCAGTGTGCTTTACAGTAGGGGTAAAACACAACAACAGGGGCGTCTGTAGGCTAGTGGTTAGTGTGCATGCCCCATGTACTGTAGACTGTAGGCCTCCAAGCAGGTGGCCCAGGTTTGAATACGACCATTATGATGTGTCCCTAGTCTGTCTACAAGCCCAACAACGATGAGAAAAGTCCATCCTCTCTGTCTTTTCCCTGCTCCACTTTTCAGAAAATTGTGTGCTCAAACAGGCCGTTTGGGCCATTTTTCCCTTCATGACATCACAAAGGGCAGTAACCCCTCCCCCAGGTGGGAGACACTCCCACAGCTAGGTGTTTGTTCTGCCCTCTGAGTCTGCCTTCTCACTGTAAACAATAGGACATTGAGCAAGAAAACCAGAGTACACCCAAGCACATTCCAGAGAGGGGGCGTGGTCAGTCACAGCTCATTTACATTTAAAGGTACATTCACAGAAACAGCCTGTTCTGAGCAGGGCTGAAATAGAGGGGTTTATAGGCATGATCAAATACAGGATCAGAGTGAATTTAGAACAAGAAACTTCACAGACATGTTTTGAGGAGCTCTTAACGTGTTGAAAATGAGTAAAATATGTGACCTTTAAGAGGAGGTGACTGTCTGACATATCAGGGGTCACTCATAGAGGCTGTGCGATTCTATTTGGCTAGAAATAATTGAATAGAAAAGAACACATAGATTTCAACATGCAGTGATTCATACAATCATACCATAGTAGAGTTGTATTTTTGTTTTCCCCTTTTCCTTCCAAGTCTCTACAATCCCATGTGTTCAGGACCCCCACTTTGAAGAACACTGATCTGACCGACTTGAAATATTGAAATTCTATCACTTTTATAAAACAGACTCAAATTGCAGTGAATGTCAGCTGCATACACGGCACATTAAAATAAGTATGGCATGTTTTATGAGCAGGTCTATTAACACAAACATTTCCAGTTTAGAAGTGTCCCTCCTACCTTCTCAGCTTTATAATCGTCTCTCTTTGTTTTCGCCTTGAAATAGTGAAGTCAGACTCATTGGAGCCATTTCTTTTTGAGCTCTTGTGTTCATGGATGTCACTGATTTTGTTCATCCCAGTTGTCGAGCTGCTCCCATCCACCCACATGTAAGGAACATTCTTGAATACCATGTTTAGATTCTGCTGAACATTTTGTTATTTCTGTAAATCTTTTTCTGTCTGTTTATAGTTTATTTGTTGTGCTGTCATGTTGATGATAAACACATTGACTGTTGTAACTCCTCACTGGAGCACTATCAAACCCCTGCAGATGATCCAAAACGCAGCAGCGTGTCTGGTCTTCATCCTCCCTAAAACAGCGCCTGTCACTCAGCTGTTCATCTCCCTCCACTGGCTCCCAGTTACTGCTTGCATCAAATTTAAGACTCTGCTGCTTGCTTACAAAACAGCCACAAAAACAGCTCCTCCTTACCAAAAACTCTCTCATCCAGGTCTATGAAAGGCGTCTGATCCAACCTTCACAACAGGGCCCTAAGACGCTAACTAGGCTCTTCTCCTCTGTCGCCCCCTGGTGGTAGAACGCACTACCAAACTCCATTTGATCTGCAGAGTCCCTTTGCACCTTTAAGAAAAAGCTAAAGACCCAGCTCTTTATGAACACCTACGACCTTCATGATGATGTTGATATTAAAGATGGTTGTGATGCTGATTAGAACTCTCATGGATGACCCTGATGAAGCCCATGAGCTGAAATGTGTCGGTCTAAATTGTTAATAAAGTTGATCTTCTTACTACAAGTGTTGCTGGAGCATTTTGACCTCTTCTGATTAGAACTCTCAAGAACAGCTGTTGATGTTGTGCACTGCCTCTGATCACTTCCTGTCAGCACCTCTGGTCACTTCCTGTCAGCACCTGTGTGTCTCATCAGACTTAAAGCTGTTAGTTTGCTCTTCTTGACATTGTTTCCTCCTCTCTAGATCCTTGCTTGTGTTGTACACTTACTCTCTGATGTTTGTCGCTTTGGATGAAAGTATTTGATAAATGAATTGTAGAATCATAAGCAAAGTCAGAAGTACCTTTTTGTACTTCCTAGCGATGGGTCAAAGTGTCCTTTGGCCAGACACCCAAGAACATCATGTTGCTCTCGAAGGCAGAGCCGTCAGTGTGTGAATGTGAGATTATTACCGTTGAACAGTTGTGCCGCCTCTGCTCTCCGAGTATAAAAGTGTGTTTGAAAGTGACATGTATATCTCATGACTTTGCAAAGGTTTAGTATGAAACAAAAAATGGTGATTTGTAAAATTTTCTTAAGCATCTCCGTCAGTCTCCAAACATGTCTGATCTTCTTCTTCTGTTGTTTTTGGGGACTTCCTAATGAAAGACATTTGTTGGCTAATGTGGCTCCTCTCGTCTCTGTAACGATGACGGTGTCACACTTTAACAATGAGTCTAATCTTGTGCTTTTGTTCTGTTTCTCATCCATCTCGCCCTCCTATCATCTTCTGCTCTTCCTCCCCTTCTGTCTCTAATTTATTACCCCCTCCTCTGCCTTCATCCTCATTTCTCTCACTCCCTCTACTTCGCTTCATTGTCCTCCTCCATCATCTCTTCTCCCTCTCTCTCTCTCTCTCTCTCTCTCGCTCTCAGGTGAACAAGCAGCAGCTTCAGGCGGTGAAAGATCGTTTTCTGGCCTTCCTCAGCGGGGAAACTCAGATCGTGGCGGATGAAGCTTTCTGCAACGCTGTGAGGAGCTACTATGAGGCAAGACAGTTTAATGTCTTCTTTATTCCTTTCTCAGAAAGCAGAAACATATTTTGTTTCAACCTGTCTGACTTTACGAGTGTAAGAAACAATAAACGACCTGCAGAGTCCCTTTGCACCTTTAAGAAAAAGCTAAAGACCCAGCTCTTTATGAACACCTACCACCTCAATGATGGTGATGATGATGATGATGATTGATATCGGCTGCGCTGAGTATTGATGTGAGAGAGCTGATTATGTTGTTATTGGGGAAGGGGGCTGGAGTTCGTGTTGGATTGAACTTGTCTTTATAGTATACCTTTTTAACGACACGGGGAATGGAATGAGAATCACCTTCATTTAATGTCATTTCAAGGGAGTTGGAAACATTTGGTTTCAATGGAAGCCAGGCTGCCACATTTTGTTCAAAGGGGACTCAACTGTGTATTTTTATCACAGTGTAGAAAGGTGTAAATACAATTCATTAGAAATCCACACTACCCATCTAGTAGGGCTGCTCACAATTATTTGGATAAATATTGAGCACCAATTCATTACAAGTGTTCTCATCTTGAGATGCTTTACAAAGGAGCAGGTACAATACCTTACCCTTTGTGAAGAAACATGGGAGAGGGGAAGATGGAATGTTCCTGTTGTCAGCACTTCCTTGCCGCTGAGGTGCAGGTCGGAGCCGGACGTGCATGAATGAGGACGGTGGTGGTTGTGGGGACGACACAGTGCAATGGTTGTGGCTGGGCTTCAGGGACGTCAGGTGGTAGTAGTGCCAGATCACCTCGCTGAAGGATGGGGGATCTCCGCCTACTTGAGAGCCCGGCCTCTGCTGCCCGGACAAGACCTCCTGGGCTTTTAACACACTGCGACAAACAGAAGGGGGACAAGAAAATAATAATTTCTTGCAGCCCATCGTAAAAGACAAATCTCTGAGAAGGCACCATTCATCCATCAATTTTCTTCCACTTATCCAAGGTCGGGTGGTGGTGGCAACAGGTGCAGCAAGTCAACCCAGACTTCCCTCTCCCCAGCAACGTTTTCCAGCTCCTCCTCAGGGATTCGGAGGTGTTACCAGGCTATATACAAGATATCTATGCTCCCCTCAAATGTCTGAGCTCCTCCCCCTCTCTTTAAGGCTGAGCCCTGACACCCTTATTCTCTCGGTCACTACCCATAGCTCATGACCAAAGGTGAGGGTATGCACCAAGAAAAGCCAAACATTTCACAACTGTGCACTGAGCTCTGGGATCAAGATACCTGATTAGTCTTTTTGACTCATCTGTGATAAACTCCAACAGGACGTTAAAGACAATTTGATCCGTTGAGGGTTCAACTGGAAGTGACCTCTCCAGTTATCATAAACCATGCTTCATAGTTCAGGCCTCGCTTTCCTCCAGAAACCCCTCTCAACAGATGCACCAAGACAACACAAGAGCTCTTACTATGACACTCTTCGTCCCTCCAGTGATTTGAAACCAACCTCAGATCATTTCTGGTGTTTCCTGCCGCCGACCTCCTCCGCACCTCTTAAGACAGAGTGGTTTTTGAGCTCTTATGGCACGAAGTAATTAAGTTTAGCGCCCAGCGTCAGACTGAAAAAGATTGAAAAATTGATCCACCAATTGTTTTGTTTATTTCTGTTCTCTGAGGCGTTTTCTTTCCTTTTTGGAGCACAGTGCTGCCAATGCTTCATTCTGCAAGTCCCAATCTGGACTAAAATGTTCTCTTTGATATTTTCTCAAAATAGTTTCCCTCCTTTTCTTCGCCGTGTTTCCTAAAATAAGCTCTGTGTTTGGATGGAAACCTGTCCTCTGACTCCTCCAGAAATACTGTGACGAACCCTCCCACGTCCACTCAAGCTTCCCTCTCTCCCGTGTTAGAGGAGGACAGCTGCAAGCAGAGATTGCAGTAAATTTCCTTACTCTCTTTATTCCATTTTTACACTCCAACCCTCTTTTATGTGTTGCTCCTTTTGCCTTCGCCTTTCTCGCTATCTGCCCCTCATCGTTCCCCCTCTCTACGGGAGCTCCCATCATCCGGGGCGAGATGGAGATCTTATCAGCCGCTTGCAGCTTCGTCTCCTTAATCGCCGGCAATTGTGAGACGAGAGGGTGTCACTGAAACTGGCAGCGTTTTTGCCACTGCTGAGTAGCTGAAGGGTTGAATGATCAAAGTGAGATGATTGGTCCATCCTCATGAGAGCTGACATTAACACTTCATGTTTCAAATGACCTCTTCCGATGGTGTCAGAGCATAACTACACACACACACACACGCACACACACACACACACACACACACACACACACACAGGGTAATAACAACGACTGGGATTTGTGCTTTTTTTTTCATTCATGGGTGAAAATGGCAGATGTACCACATGAAGAAAGAGGTTTCGTGCTGCATCCCTGAATCATTCCTGGGAGACGACGTGTTGACTGGCGAGGAGAATACTGAGTGTGAGTGCGCTTAAAACACAGGTGTAAATAATCATGGTGTTCTTACGAGGAAGCTAGGAGAATATTCTGGGATTCATTCATTCATACAAAGTATTGTTCAGTAGTGTTTCCGAGGGCATAGTTACCCCCATACAGAAAAAAGTGTGCATGTGCAGATCAAAAATGGTGACATGCATCATCCCTAATAGAATCTGAGATCCAACCAGCTGCCGTTGAACGACAGTGTACAGTGTTTCCCCTACCATTATATTAGATAGATAGATAGACAGATAGATAGATAGATTCAGAAATCAGGGAAAGAAGTCATTTAAGGATACCTTTCCGATAGAACAGGACAGCTGTCATTAAAAGTAACACATGAACACCAAGATTCCTTCAAGTGTTTGTGTCGGCTTGTCCCCACCCCCCCAACGCTGTAAACCTAGGGGAAACACTGGTGTAGCTTTTATTGATGCATATAAACCGAGATCTGCATGCTAACAATCCATACTTGGGTTATCGTCTCTCAATGGCAACTCCTCTCTTGGTTTTTTGAGGAAGTCCTTTAATGTTAACCGCTGGCTGAAGAGGAAGACCCTGAACATTTGGACATTGCACCCAGAAGAGAATATCACTGTAGAGGATAGCCGACTGGTTCTGAGATTTGGGCTCGATCAGAAAGACCTAATTTTTTTTAAAGCTTTTTAAAGATTTTTCAATGCTTATTTTGTAGGACAGTGGATAGAGTAAGGAACCAGGAGAGAGAGTGGGGATTGACATGCCGGAAAGGAGCCACAGGTCGGACTTGAAACCAGGCCTACTTGGAGGACTGTAGTCTCCATACATGGGCGTGACCATAGATTGTAAATATAAATGAATGAAGTCTGAGTGACGTCACCCATCTGTTCCTGCAGGGGGCTCTGGAGCCTCATCAGCAAGCAGCCGCGATGTTGGAAATGCTGTCTCAGTCTAACTTTCAGTCAACCTAACGACAGGCTGAGAGCTGGAGCTGAGGCGGGTTTTAAGCCTCTTGACGAACCTGTCAATCATGTCAACTACACGCCTAACTATGGATAACACTTATCATTCATAAAATCAAAACAGATGTCTCTCCCCTCCCCCGGACAGTGTGTGCCCTTGAGTATAAAAACTAATCAGACCTGTTTGTTTTTTTTGTTCCAGGCTGTAAACATGTTAATTTCTGCTGTATACAACGACTTCTTTGAATGTGACTTCTGGGGCTCTTTGAGCCAGCCTCAAGCGGACCCTCAAACAAATGGAGGATTTTTCACTTCCACTTTGGCTTCATTTTTTAACACTGGAGGTTGTCGCTTGGGTGTGATCCACCCGCTAGGCCATCAGCGCTCCCTCCAGGCTAACTTTCTCATTTAGGTGCAGGGAGTTAATAGATTTTACATTTGGCATTTTACTGAGGTTAAAACACTCTGAGCAGAGGTCTTCTTCCGGTGATAATTTTAATTATCTCAGACTCAGACAACTTTGTTTATCCCAAAGGGCAATTCGGTTTTTACCCAGACCTACATTCATTCACAAACAAACAGACAGGGAGGCAAACAGAGACGCTCACTAGAATAAAACCTCTGGTCAAAACATTGTGATGAAATACAAACTTTTTGATGCTGAAGTGTGCAGACAAATCTTCTTCTCTGCTGTTTTTATATTGCTCTGCTCCTCTGTGATGTGCGTATAACTATCCCTTTCTCTATTTTCAACATTGACATTTATTGAGGCTTTTAACATTCGACTCTGTTAGAACATAACACACAGTTCATGAGATTAAACTCCTCTCTCCTCCCCTCCTAAATCTGTCCTTTTCAAACAGCATGGCACAAACTCACCACAGCCTCACACAGCTGGAGGAGGTGTGTCAGCGTTCCTCATGATATGATACACGATATACGGCCCACAATAATGATAGATCATGATACAGCTATTCAGCGATAATGATACACCATGATAACTGACTAATGGAAGAGCAACAGACAAAATGCCTATAAATATATATATATATATATATATATATATATATATTTTTTTTTCATACTGTACAAAGTACCCTGTTAAAGATACAATATGTAGATTCCGCCACCAGGGGCTTTCAATCAATACTACAAAAACAAAAGACGATGTCAAGGCTAGTGGGGAATCATGGGAGTTCTCTCTGCTACTACGCCTTCTGCTTCATTTTTTAACACCAGATGTTGCTGCTTGGGCGTGACCCACAATTACGTTTTAGACAATTTAGTTTTAAATTTTTGGTGCAATTTAGTTTAGGAAGCTTGTTTTGGCTCTGTACATTCTCTTTGTTTTATCCCATCTTCCAATCTATCGTTTGCGATTTTTGTGGTTATGCTTTCGGGATAACTTTAAGAAACCCCTGTGTCCCACTCCCCCAACACTCCTGACAGATATATCGACCGATATCTTTCTTAGATCTATGTTCAATCTGTAGATATAGATACACATTTATTATGTTTATCCCTCAAAGTTATCAAACACTTGTGGAAAAGATTTCTAATGAAGACAAGATGGTCGCCCAACTGGAAAGTA